GAGAGAAAGAAAGGAACAGACAGAAAGAGAGGGAGGGGCGCAAAGAGAGGAATGGGCACAAAGAGAGGAGCAGACAGAAAGAGAGGGATGGGCACAGAGAGAGATGATGCGCATGCACATCATGGAGCAACAAGGAGCCCGCAGGACGCACGATTTGTGGGTCAGATCTGCGAGATCTGCCAGGGAGAGGTCGATGTTGACGGTGATCGTCCCGGTCGGGGCTGCAGGCCAGGCGGCGCGGTTAGTTCCACGGCGACAGGGGGCAGGGGGAAATAGGCCCAGGGAGGGCGCCAGGCCCGAGGGCGACATCCACGCACAGGTCATCAGCGTCGTGGGGAGAAGGGCCCGGCAGCGGAATTGGTCCATCTGGGACGAGTCGCTGTTGAGCTGCCTGGCCCGCTGGGTGATGGCCGCGGTGTCCGGGCCGGAGGGGAAGATGTGCCCGCCATTGGAGGCGGCCTCCGCTTGCACCGTGCTCGGGAGACTTTGCAGCCGCTCATGGAAGGACCGGTGCAGGGCCAGCGAATAGTGGATCAGCTTGGTCACCTGGGCCGAGGGAGCCAGGCGCGGCGGCTGGGCGAAATTCCCAAAGGGAAGGGACCGGTCGCCGGCGGCCATGGCCGCTGCCGCCCCCGCCGGGGAGGTGTGCGTCGGCCCGTGGCCGGCCAGCGTCCGGTAGCGGGTGGGAGGGGAGCGCTGGCCGGCGCTGCCGGACGTCGGCCGGTTGCCGGCATTGCTGAGAGGGGCAAGAGCCGGAGGGGGGGGGGGGGGGGGCAACATAAAAAAAGACAGTCAGACACATGGGCCAGGGCAGGCCGCCGGGCGCCGACAGGCCGCCGGGGAGAAGCCGGAGCCGAAAAGCCGCCGGACGCACAGCAGCGGGATGACCTCCGGGCACTCGTGGATGATGAGGTTCATGGCGTTGTACGGCTGGGGGAGGCCATTGAAGTAGCTGGTCAGGCGGCTGACCAGGAGGGACTTGATGCCGGAGCGGGGCAAATTGAAGAGGGTCAACATCCGCGACAGGACCACCTTGGTCAGGCTCATGAGGACCCGCTTGAGCATGCCCATCAGCTCGTGCGCATTGGCCGGGGTCAGGGCGATGCCGGGGCCGGGGGCCGCCGGGGCCGGGCTCGGCGCCGCTGCCGGAGGGCTTCCTGTGGCATTGCCATGGCCGGTGGCGCTGCCGATCGACCGGGGGGTGCCCATGTCGGCGGTAACGCGCATATGGGGCAGCCGCGAAGGGGGGCGGGCAGATGCAGGGGGCGGCAGGAGGAATGGGCGCGTGGGCTGGTCAAGACGGGAGAGGGCACTGGCCGATCGGCATCAGGGCGCAGCGGGGCCGCGGACCGTGAAGCAGCAAGCAGCGGAGGGAGGGGGGCGGGAGT